GGTTGGGTAGACAGAAGAAGAGAGGGAGGGAGGAAGGAAAAAGGAGGGAGAAGGGAGAGATGATAGAAGAATAGTTGGGTGGATGGAAGGAAGGAAAAAGGAGGGAGGGAGGGAAGAAGGAAGGTAAGAAAGGAAGAGATGATAGAATAATAGTTGGGTAGGGACAGAAGGAAGGAAGGAAAGAAGGAAAGAAGGAAGGAAGGAAGAAAAGATGAGAGAAGAATGGTTGGGTAGACGGAAGGGAGGGAGGAAGGAAGGAAGGAAAGAAGGAAGGAAGGAAATGAGAGAAGGAAGGAAACGTGCCGAAATAATATACTTCAAAATAAATAAGCTGCATTTCTCAGCTTCCTCAAACTTTTCTTGCTTACGTGGGGAAGCTGCTTCCAATCAGAATCCTGCCCAGAGGATACTCCTTCCCGTGGACTGAGACCGGGGGGCTGACCTCCAGGTTCCCAAAGGAGTCTAAGCTGTTGACGATTTCAAAGAGAGGTTCCCGTGTCACGTAGCCGAAATCCGGGCCCTGGAGAGGGAAAGAGAGAGGGGACGTTTCACGGCAGAGGCCTACCTGAAGGGGACAGGGAACCGAGCTCTGGGTCAGGTGGGTCTGCCATCGTAAACGCTTCTGCTGGCATCCAGCCATAAAATGAGGGGGGGGGGGGGGGGGAGGGGAAGTGGGGGGGGGGGGGAGGGACGACGGGAACAGGAGATGCCAATCCAGAACAGACCAGAGCATCCGAGGACATAAGCGTGAGAACGGAACGGGAAACCCCACCAAAGAGGCGCCAAAGCTTAAAGCCGTTACCAAAACACCAAATTCAAATACAGGTCCTCAAATCATGACAATTAAGCCCCAGGTTTATGTCGCTAAGTGGAACATTTGTTAAGCGAGTTTTGCCCCATTTTTTTCATGCCACCGTGGTTAAAAGAATCGCTGCATTTGTTGTGTTAGTGACACAATTGTTAAGTGAATCTGGCTCCCCCATCGACTTTGCTCGTCAGAAGGTCGCAAAAGCGGATCACAAGACTCCGGGACACTGCAGCTGTCATAAATGTGAGCCAGTTGCCAAGTTGAATTTTGATCATCTGACCATAAAGATGCTGCAACGGTCATAAGTATGAAAGATGTTCATAAGTCACTTTATTCAGTGCTGTTGTAACTCCAAGTGGTCACTAAATGAATTGTTAGTCAAGGACTAACTGTATTATTGGACACTTAATGAATGGTCAAGGGGGGAGGGCCTGAGAAATAGAAAAAAGGCAGGTTTTGAGTGGAAATATTCAGATCCATGTTTGCTTATATTGTAATCACTTCGTTTTAGTAAAAGGATACCTTCTATTACAAATGGGAGTCGAGAGTCTTTCTTTCCTAAATGCCCAAGCCGGGACAAGCCTGACACCCTAGGATCGCATTGCCAGGCACACAACGAATTCCTGGGAAAGATTCAGGTCACACAAGGCCCTTGGCAAGTACTGCAATAGAGGGAGGGAGGAAGGAAGGGAAGGGAAGAAAAGAAGGAGAAGGAAGGAAGGGATGAGGAAAGAGGAAAGAAGAAAGGAAAAGGAAAGAAGGAAGGAAGGAATGGAGGTAGGGATGAGGAAAGGAAGGGAGGGAGAGAGGAAGGGAGGAAGGAAGGAGAAGGAAGGAAGAAGAAGGAAGTGAGGGAGGGATGGAGGGAGGGAGGAAGGAAGAGAGGAAGGAGAAGGAAGAGAAGGGGAGGGAGGAAAGAGAGATGAGAGAAGAATTGTTGGGTGGATGGAAGGAAGGAAAAGGAAAGAAGGAAGGAAGAAGGAATGGAGGTAGGGATGGGGAAAGGAAGGGAGGGAGGGAGGGAGGGAGGGAGGAAAGAAGGAAGGAAGGAAGGAAGGAGAAGGAAGTGAGGGGATGGAGGGAGGAAGGAAGAGAGGAAGGAGAAGGAAGAGAGAAAGGGAGGAAGAGAGATGAGAGAAGACGGGTTGGGTGGATGGAAGGGAGGAAGGAAGGAAGGAAGGAAAAAGGAGGGAAGGGAGGAAGGAAGGGAGGGAGGGTATGCGTCACTGGAGAAGCTCCTTTAGAGCTATGGTCTCCTCCTGTGCATAGACGGAGCCCCACAGCTTCCCCCGGAGTAAAATGTACAAAAATATCCTTTGGCACATTCATGCCTTTCAAGAGACCCTTTTCTGAAACTTTTAACACATGACTCAAGCCAAGCCAAGCCAAGGAAATCCGACTTCCCTGGCAAGGAAAGCCCATCCAACTTCTCCGCCAATTACACCTGCGGAATCCGGGCTCTAAATCTGTCCGCAGTCAAGCCCCCAGTCCTGATGAAGCTACTAGACGGCTTTTCCTTCTTGCAAAGAAACCTCAGGGCAAGAAGGAAGGAGGGAGGGAGAGAGAGAGAGAGAGAGAGAGAAAGACAGAAAAGGCTTTGAAACGGAGACCCAGTCGGGGTCCATGGGGAGCCTGCCAGGGTGGCTTTGCCGCGAATTAGGTGGCTTGCATCCAGGCGACACGGCTGTAATTCCATCCACCGGGATGGGACTGCTGGAACAGACCCGAGGAAAGGGCAGTTCGTCCTGCCAGGTATGCTTGTCAGAATTACTGTGTCAACCACGGGCTCCAGAGATTGACGGTGAGTCACCGACGACGTCTTTATCTCTGAGCCGAGGCAGGAAGAAATCTCCCAACCTTGAGCAAACGTCTCTGGTTGGCACGGGAGGGGCACACGTGTGCGTGCCCGTGTATGTGGCCGGAGCTCTTTGAGAGAGGAAGGCGGGCACCCAGTGGCGTATTAACCATTAAGCCAGTGATGGCTAACCTTTTTGCCGTCGCGTGCCAAAAGCCAGGGTCATGCGTGCATGTGCCCATACTCATAATTCAATACACTTCGCTCGCCACATATGCGTGCGCGACCCCCCCTGCGCGATCCTCGCTTTTGGCACACAATGGCCTAGTGGGCCCATTTTTCACCCTCCCCAGGCTCCAGACACTTCCTTGGAGCCTGGGGAGGGTGAAAACTGCCTTCCCTACCCTCCCCAGAGGCCCTCTGGAGGCCGAAACGGCTCGTTTCCCAACTCCCGGTGGGACCGGAAGGTTGGAAAATCAGCTGGCCGGCACACGCATGCACGCTGGAACTGAGCTAGGGCAACGCTTGCATGCCCACAGATATGGCTCTGTGTGCCACAGGTTCGCCATCACGGCATTAAGCAGACTAAGCATGTGCTTACGGCACCAGGCCCAAAGGGGGCACCACAAAGTTGAGAAAGAATAAAAACAAACAAACAAGGAAGATTTGTATAAAAAACAAATTGATAAAAATTGAATCTTGGAGCACCAAGATTTGTCAGTGCTTAGGGCATCAGTGAGCCTTAATCCGCCCCTGCGGGCACCAGGAGCCGCTACATATTTGGAAAATCTTGCACACCCGTTCCACCACCATTCGTTCTTGCAAATTTCCCCAATTCCCTTGCCTTTTCCCCGTCCCGCAGCCAGGCTCTGAAAGCCGGGGAGGCAAAGCCGGAGCGGGGCTTGAGTTACCGCTTCAGTTTCTGCTTGCTTTTGCGAAAGTTAAAAAAGGCCATTAATTCTCAAGAGGTGTGGAAAGAAAATCCACCTTCTTTCAACTTGGCTGCCCTGTTCCTTTTTTTCAGCTTTCTTGCAAATTCTCCCAGGGATTAACAACCGATCTTTGGCAATCCCTCCGGGCATTTACACAGAAGCCTTAAATGTGTCTACATGGTTTTAATGCATCTTTTACTTGCGGGGCAAATATCCCCAAATTGGCTGCCGAGCTGACTCACCCAGGATGGCCCAGGACGGTGGTTTAAAAAGTGGAAGGAAATAACTGCAAGGCAGTGGTGAAATCTAAAATCTGTTACTTGTGGGCGTGGCTTGGTGGTGGTGGTGGGTAATGTGATTGGGTGGGCGTGGCCATTTTTTTTACTTTTAAAACAATTTTTTTAAAAAATGCATACAATTTTGTAAAAAAAATGCTTTCAAAAGACTCTGACGATCGCAGCTGAGTTGCCTGATCGTCAGAAGCTTTTTTTTCTTTTAAAAGCCTTTGATGATCCCAGCTGAGCCGTGCGATCATCAGAGGCTTTTTTTTTTAACTTTTAAAAGCATTTTTTTGGCCGAAGAGGTTGTAGAAAAAATGCTTTTAAAAGTAAAAAAAAAAGCCTCTGATGATTGTGCGGCTCAGCTGGGCATTGGTGGGGGCGGGCAGGGATTTTTGCTACCGGTTCTCTGAACCACCTGCCTCCATCGCTACCGGATCGGGCGATCCGGTCTGAACCTGGAGCATTTCACCCTTGCTGCAAGGCCCTTGGCCAAAGGAGCGCCGTATTTGAGCACAGTCGCCTCTCAACAATTTCTTTTACTACTTTCTTCCACGACGACAACTTGCGGTGCACAAAAAATCAGCCAAGTAAGGCCAGATGTCTTTAGAAAACTGCGCGAAATCCCGAAACTCTACCCTGATCGCTACCCTGCTCTTCTCTGTCCACTGAGAAATGAATTCTTCCTGGTCTCGTTTTTCCATTAAGTGCATCTCAAGAGGCTACGGACAGGTACTTAAGTGGTGAGAGAGAGAGTTTGCTAAGTAGCCTCGTCGGAAAATGAGAAGGCACAAAGGCGGGGGGTGGGGGGGTAAGGAGAGGAAAGATTAAACAAAAGATGGGGTTATTTAATATTTAAGTGCTCTGGCAGGAGGCAGGTAGAATTTTTCTCCAAGCTTGAGCGCCGTCAATTAACTGGGATTTTTGGAAAGGCCTGATATTTCTCCCTCCTGTGACCAATTCAGGGGTGCATGTCCCCATCGGAGGAGCAGGAGATATGATGGATTTCCTACATTGAGGAACATGTACGGATAAGGAGTGTTTTTGTGTAACGCTAGCGTTGCCTCGCTCTCGGCTCCGGTTACCAGCTACGCTTCGGAAAAAAGCCAAGTTCTGGTGCCTCGCGGCAAGAGATTCGATTAAACGCGCAGCCCCCCCAAAAAAATTTCAGGGTTGCCTGCCGAAGCGTTGCAGGTGTCAGCACTAGGATAAATGCATCTTGACGTGCTGACACGTCATACTGTCATACTGAGGACCGTACGGAGTTTAGGGGTCTGCATGTTTGCGCTTGGGGGGGGAGCCGGAGTCCTTGACCGAGTCCTTGGAGGAGGAAGTCTGAGCATTCCCATTCTTGGCAGGCCGTCCGTAGCATACGCCATCCCAAAAATATGAGTGTCCAGTTCGTGCATTCCGCTTCTGGACGCCACAAATTGACATGGGATCTTGAAAACAACCCCTTGCACTCAAAGGTTCATTAAGGCTGAATTCCTGCTGCATTGTGCCTGCCGGGAAAAGTCTTAACGCAAGCGAGCTCCTGTGGGTTTAAGGGGCTAGAAGCTTTATTTACAGGATCACGACTAGGCCGCCAATCCTTTTAGCACAGAACGTAGAATAATAGAGTTGCAAGGGACATCACAGGTCCTCTAGTCCAAGAGTCAGCAACCTGGGGCTCTGGAGCCACATGTGGCTCTTTCACCCCCTCTGCTGCGGCTCCCCGTCACTCAAAATATCCGTCACAACTGCCAATGTGCGACATCCGCCAGCATGCAATTTATTGTGTTTTTCAACCCCCGGTAGGCCAACCATGGATAAATCCAAGAAAAGAAAAGTTTCAGAAGAAAACAGAACGTTTAATTCAACTACATATGCTAGTTTTGTGGCTGCTCAAGAAATAGTCAGGCACGGGGAGGGTTTTGTGGCTCCCGGTGTTTTTTTTTCTATGGGAAACAAGTCCAAATAGCTCTTTGAATTGTTTAAGGTTGCAGACCCCTGCTCTAGTCCAACCCCCTATTCAAGCAGGAGACCCTATACCCGTGATGGGGAACCTATGGCACGCTTGCCCAAAGTGGCACGTGAAGCCATGTCACCTGGCACGTGGGTCCTTGCCTGTTTGTCTTCTGGGTTTCTGGCGTGCATGCGTGCATGACGATCAGCTGTCCGTGCGTGAGGCAGTGCCGAAAACTGGTGTGCGCATGTGCGCCAGCCAGCTGATTGTTGGGTGCGCTTATGCGCCAGAACCCGGATGTTCGGCTTTTCCAGATCGCGATCCCTTCGCGTGTGTGGCAGTGCTGGAAACCGGCAATGCGCACCGGCCAGCTGATCATTGGTTGCACATGCACACTAGAACCTGGAAGTTCAGCTTTTCCAGAGGGCAATTCCTTCACGCATGCGGCAGTGCCGAAAACCGGCTGGCGCATATGCGCCGGCCAGCTGATTGTTGGGCACGCAATGCAAGCTAGAACCCGGAAGTTTGGTTTTTCCGGAGCATTGGCCTGACGAGCGTGCCTGTGAGCAAAATTTCTGCGTGAGTGCCGAAAAGTTTCGCCATCACTGCCCTACACCATTCCAGACAAGTGGCAATCCAATCTCTTCTTAAAAACTTCCAGCGTTGGAGCATTCACAACTTCTGAAGCCAAGCCGATCCACTGATTAACTGTTCTCACTGTCGGGAAATTTCTCCTTGGTTCTAGGTTGCTTCTCTCCTTCGTTAGTTTCCACCCATTGCTTCTTGCCTTGCCTTTTGATCCTTTGGAGAATAGCTTGACTCCCTCTTCTTTGGGGCAGCCCCTCAAATATTGGAACACTGCCATCATGTCACCCCTAGTCCTTCTTTTCATTAGACTAGACCCCTGATGGCGAACCTATGGCACGGGTGCCACAGGTGGCACGCGGAGCCATATTGGTGGGCACACGGGTGTTGCCCTAACTCAGCTCCAGCGTGCATGCGCGCACCGGGCAACTGATTTTCAGGCCTTCCGGTCTCACCGGAAGTTGGGAAACTGGCTGTTTCCGGCCTCCGGAAGGATGGGGAAGGCTGTTTTTGCCCTCCCCAGACTCCTAGAAAGCCTCTGGAGCCTGGGGAGGTGGAAAAACGGGCCTACCGGGCCCAGCGTGCCATCGCGTGCCAAAAGCAGGGGGAAGTGTGTGTGTGTGGGGGGGTCACGTGCGCATGCACGGGAGGGCGGGCAGATTGAATTATGGATGTGGGCACACGCACCCACGACCCTCCATGCGACCCCCACTTTTGGCACGCAACGGCAAAAAGGTTAGCCATCACTGGACTAGACATACCCAGTTCCTGCAACCGTTTCTTCATATGTTTTAGCCTCCAGTCCCCTAATCATCTTTGTTGCTCTTCTCTGCACTCTTTCCAAAGTCTCAACATCTTTTTTATATTGTGTGACCAGAACTGGATACCATATTCCAACTGTGATCTTACTAAAGCTTTTTAAAGCGGTAGTAATACTTCACGCGATCTATCCCTCTGTTAATGCAGCCTAGGATTGCACTGGCTTTTTTGGCTGCCGCCGCACACTGCTGGCACATATTTAAGTACCGTGTTTCCCCGAAAATAAGACCCTGTCTTATATTTTTTTGAAACCCCCCCGAAATAAGCGCTTGGCCTTATTTTCAGTAAGGTCTTATTATTTTGGGGCGTGTGGAGCAAGACGGGGATCTTCTTGCCGTCTTACCTGATTTCCAAATCTGCGTTTAAATATTTTTTTGGGGGGGTTATTTTCAGGGGGAGGCTTATTTTAGTGCATGCGCTCAAAAGCCCGATTGGGCTTATTATCAGGGGAGGTCTTATTTGCAGGGAAACAGGATAGTTGTCTACTACAGGGGTGGGTTCTACTTACCTTTACTACCGGTTCGCATCGTGCCCACATGCACTCTTCTACACATGCGCAGATCGCCTATGATGACATCCGGGTCAGTGGGCAGAGCCCCCCACCAGTTTTACTACCGATTCTTGCAAACCGGTCCGAACCGGGGGCAACCCACCACTGATCTACTAGGACTCCAAGATCCCTTTTGCAATTACTGTCATTAAGCCAAGTTTCACCTAGCCTGTACCTATGCAGTTGGTTTTTTCTTGCCTAAGTATAAAGCCTTACTTTTATCTACATTGAATTTCATTTTTTGAAATGAATTTCATTCATTGAATTTCATTTCATTTTGTTAGGGTCCATTGTTCAAGTCTGTCAAGAGGAGCCTTGGTGGCGCAGTGGACTAAAGTGCTGTTAAAGTAGCACTTAGCTGCCAGCTGCCTGCAATTACTGCGAGTTCGAATCTCACCAGGCTCAAGGTTGACTCAGCCTTCCATCCTTCCGAGGTAGGTAAAATGAGGAGCCGGATTGTGGAGGCAATAAGCTGACTTTGTATACAAAAAGAACACCGCTTAGGGGGGGCCGAAAGCCCTACTAAGCAGGTATATACAAAAGTATGAAGGCTATTGCTTAATGCATTGTAAGCCACCCTGAGTCTCCAGAGAAGGAGGGCATATAAATCAAACCAATAAAATAAAATAAATAAATAAATAAGATCTTTTCCTGGCAGGGCTCCATCAAAACCGTAAAACGAAAAGCTATTTTTTTTAAAAAAAAAAACAGATTTTCCTGCCAGTTTGCTATCAGTCTTCTGCATAAATAATAATAATAGTTTTAGATTTCTTTGCCACTGAGGAATGCCTCGGCTCCCAGAACAAGGTCGCTAAGAGAGGAAAGCACTGCCGTAGCTCTTACCAAAATCTCTTTGACGGCAAAATATTTGAGGCCTCCATCCCGCGGAGAGTCTAAAACCACCGGGAACTGCTTGTGGGGTGCCTGAATGTAGCCAAATTCAATCTCGTCCTGCAAGAGAAGGAGAATCGGGGCTACGGAGGTTGCAAGACTCCCTATAGCTGAAACGCATGGGGATTGAAGGGAAGAAGCGAGGTGTGGGGAGATTGAAAGCATGGTTAGGGGATTCTGGGAGCTGACGTCCACATTCTTAAAGTTGCCAGGTTTGAGAAACAAGGCTGCATTTGGGAAGTCCCGTGAACAATTGAGAAGCTCATCATGGAGAGAATCTACCTACGTGGTTGCTAAGAGTTGATGCTGACTTGACGGCCTATCATCATCCTCTTTAACGACTCCATAATCCCTTGCCGGGTGGAGTCTGGGCAACTGAATGGAGCTGAGTGTTTACTGGCCGGATGCCTTGCCTGTCGCCAGTGCTGAGTTTTGTTCAGCAGATATATTCTCATTGTGCTCAGATAGAGAAATATCTGCCTCAACCTAGGATCGAACTCACAGCCTCCTGATCGCGAGATGAGAGCTCCACCTCTCTAGGCCACCGCACCACTTGCTGACTTGATGGCCTATATAATCAACATTTATCAAACATGGAGAATTTTGATGGAGACTGAAAGACACGCAGTGAGCATTCACTCCCGCTTGCATGAAGTGCATCTAGCCACAGCTACGGGTGCTAACCTGCATCCATCGGTCGCTGCGGTTCATATACCGAGAGCAAACCCTGATGTTGCATCCGGCTTTGCTCACCAAGCTGTTAATCTCCTTCAGGAAGAGATAGTTGTCCTTGACACTGTGTGGAAGGAAGGAGAACAAAGTGAGGTGTCGCCGGAGTCCCTGTGCAACCTTCCCTTGAAGAGGGCATCATCTGGTACCCATGGCCCACACCTGGACCCCCTCAGTCCTCCAAGAAAAAGAACTGGAGATACAGAATGAATTCTTACCGAATTCACAGCCAAGACTGTCCATTTTGGCTCTACCTAAGCTCACGTCCCCATTTTACAACAATGCTTTCCTTATGTTATGTTATGTTTCTAATAAACTTAGAAACCACTCTGTATCTCTAGCTCTTTTTCTTGGGAGGACTGAGTGGATCCAGGGAAAGAAAGAAAGAAAGAAAGAAAAGAAAGAAAGAAAGAAAGAAAGAAAGAAAGAAAGAAAGAAAGAAAGAAAGAAGAAACAGGGAGGGAGGGAGGGAGATGGAGGGAGAGAGGAAGGAAGGAAGAAAAAGAAAGAAAGAAAGAAGAAAGGAGGAAGAAAGAGGAAGAAAGAAAGAAAAAGGAAGAAGGAAAGAAAGGAAGAAGGAAAGAAGGAGGGAGGGAGGGAGAGAGGAAGGAAGGAAGAAAAAAGAAGAAAGAAAGGAGGAAGGGAGGGAAGAAGAAAGAAAGAAAGAAAAAGTAAGAAGGGAAGAAAGAAAGAAAGAAAGAAAGAAAGAAAGAGAAAGAAAGAGAGAGAGAAAGAAAGAAAGAGAGAGAAAGAAAGAAAGAAAGAAAAAGAAAGAAAGAAAGAAAGAAAGAAAGAAAGAAAGAAAGAAAGAAAGAAAGAAAGATGGAGGGGGGAGGGAGGGAGGGAGGGAGGAAGAAAGAGGTATGTAAATTTGTTCACCACCCAATGTCATTTGTTGATGTGAGTGGCCATATACCAGTAAATTTAATGAATACACACAGACACACAAGCACACAAGCACACAAGCACACAGGCAGAAATAACATACTCATACGCACAGGTAGTCCTTGCCTTTCTACCATTAGTAGGTCCAGAATTTCTATTGCTGTGCGGCTGTTGACATGCCTGATTTTACGACCTTTTTTTGGATTTTGCAGTATCCTTCCCCAGAGTGGAGAATGGGGATTTTGCAGTATCCTTCCCCCAGAGTGGAGGGAATGGGGATTTTGCAGTATCCTTCCCCCAGGAGTGGGGAGGGAATGGGGATTTTGCAGTATCCTTCCCCCTGGAGTGGGAGGAATGGGGATTTTGCAGTATCCTTCCCCTGCCACACCCACCAAGCCACACCACACCTACCAAGCCACGCCCACAAAACCGGTAGTAAAAAAAATTGGATTTCACCACTGGTCACAATTCAACTTTTTTCGACGCTGTTGCAATTTGGAAAGTCATTAAATAAACAGTTATTAAGTTGAAGACAACCTCTACGCTCCTTTCGGTCCTTTACCTGCACACAAAGACGCTGATTGGCGACAAGGTGTTTGGGGTCATGATCCAGGGTGCGACCCGGAAAAGGACAGTGTCGGTGAAGATCGGGGCCTGCGGAATACCCTGCCGGAAGATTTATTTAAAAAGCCACACTTAAAAAAATAAATAAATAAGAAATGCAACACTGGAGCCTTTCTATCATCAAGCATTCCTGTGTAAAACAGATCAGAGTCTGTTTTTTTTAAAAAAATATATATATATATGAAAAACTCAAGTTTTTTGTTATTTGACAGAAAGAAAAAAACACACAGAAGCAACCTGCTCACAGGAGATGGGTGTCAGACACAAATAAATAACTCAGAGGCTCCTGGGCAGGATTTCATCTTGCAAACATAATTAATTGGCTAATTGGTAGGAGAAATTGAAAACCGCCGGCATTCGGACGGTGGAGAGAAACGGTCAAGGAATGATGGACACGGACTAACCTTCTGGACAAATGGTGAGGCTGCTCACCCGAGAGCAAATGGAGGAGGTTGGGCAGCTAGAAACAAGACGCCCAACTGGCAGATAAAGGCTAATGAAATTTGCATTTTTTAGGCTAATGAAATTTGCATTTTTTAGGCTAATGAAATCTGCATTTTTAGGCAAGGGGATACATCTGATTCCTGGAAGAGCCCCAGGTGGCATTTCAAGCAGGCCGGCAACCCGAGAAGGCGACCAGCAAGTAATGTAAAAACAGCTTCCATGATCCCTGGCTCAATTGATACAGTTCTAAAATCATCCGGAGGTTGGTATGGCCGGGGGCAGGCCGGGCGGTGAGAAAGCAAGGGTGCCCCTCGGCCAAGGAAGGCTGGCACTGTAGGGCAGGGGTGAAATCCAGCAGGTTCTGACAGGTTCTGGAGAACCGGTAGCGGAAATTTTGAGTAATTCGGAGAACCGGCAAATACCACCTCTGGCTGGCCCCAGAGTGGGGTAGGAATGGGGATTTTGCAGTATCCTTCCCCTGGAATGGGGAGGGAATGGGAATTTTGCAGTATCCTTCCCCCGCAGTGGGGAGGGAATGGAGATTTTGCAGTGTCCTTCCCCTGGAGTCGGGAAGGAATGGGGATTTTACAGTATCCTTCCCCTGGAGTGGGATGGGAATGGAGTTTTTGCAATATCCTTCCCCCAGGAGTGGGGAGGGAATAGGGATTTTGCAATATCCTTCCCCCAGGAGCGGGGAGGGAATGGGGATTTTGCAGTATCCTTACCCTGGAGTCGGGAAGGAATGGGGATTTTGCAGTTTCCTTCCCCTGGAGTGGGGAGGGAATGGGGATTTTGCAGTATCCTTCCCCTGCCATGCCCACCAAGCCATACCACGCCCACCAAGCATGCCCACAGAGCCGGTAGTAAAAAAAATTGGATTTCACCACTGCTATAGGGGCAACGACAGATTGACTAACTGCCACCTCCCGCATTGGCGGGAGGTGGCAGAAAAAGACATGCCAAACAGTGGGTACATTGTAAGCTGCGGTTTTTCTCCTGGCCAAAGCCATGTCAGGCCCAGATCTGCCAGGATAGCAGGATTTCCAGAGAGTCTTTGAGACGGGGGCAGGGGGAGGAGACAAAAGGGACATCAAGACCACTCTCGGCACCCAACCATCCTCTGCCCAGAGACCAACCTCGGCCATCGGCTCCAGCAGACTGACGTGGACGGAGACAAGCCCGTCGAAACTCTCGTCTGGGAAGCGCAGGCCTTCCACAAAAAACTCCAGCTCGGCCGAGCCCCCCGTGTACTTCACCACGTGACTCAGTTTCCTCCTGCCCAGAATGTGGATGTAGCGCTGGCCGAAGAACGGATCTGGAGAACGGAGGAGGAAGAGAAAGCATGGGGCTCTCTGGAAACCAACATCGACATTCATCGTAATACCGAACAAGCCATGATGATCACTGAAGTCAAAATGCTGGGTCAGAACTACATCAGGCCTGTGGGCAGTTGTGAGTCTGTTTAAGGAAAAGTGGATTTTGGATCTGTTGTGGCCCGTACGCGGCCTGTGCAGTTAGGAGCTGATTCAGACAGCGAGGAGGCTGGTGTGGTGCTGCGACAGCAGCCTGTGCAGCTGGCGCTCGAGTCAGACAATGAGGAGGCTGGAGAAGATGTGGTGCCAGAGGCGAGGATTCCGCCAGGGCCTTCAGAACCTCCAGAAGCTCCCTTAAGTGAAGAGGACGAAGAGGAGGAGCCTCTTCTCGATGCACGAGCGCGCAGAGCGGCCAAAAGGCAGGAGTGGCTCCTCAGGAGGAGATCTCCTCGAGAGTAAGGCTTGGGGCTAATTGGCCACTCCCTTAGCCTATTTAAGGAGGAATGCCAACTGAAGCAATTTGCAGGGAACATATACCTTTGTGTCTTGTGTTGCTTATCTTATCAGCTTCCTGCAAATTGCTTCTGGGCATTCTGCCAACCATAGTAAGCTTTCAGTTATTATTCTTTGAATTCTTGGTGGCTGTTAATGCAATTAATTAACAGACGTTGTTGTAAAAGACTGGTTTATTTAGTAAACTAAGGTTTGAACGGACTTTGTGTGTGCTGAGTTCTTTGGGGTCCGTAGCTGGGGCAGAACAGGATCTGTTTTTCCTTAAAATTATGGGAAAGCATCCTAAAATGATGGAAAAAGCACAATCTTCGCGTGGGACTTACTGCTATTGCAAGGAGTAGAAAAAGACACTGGTTTGTGGATTGCAGGTCGTCCTTGACTTGTGATCATTTATTTAGCGGCCGTCTGAAGTTACAACAGGACTGAAAAAAGGGACTTTGGGCCAGTCCTCACATTTACGACCGTTACAGGATCACCACAGTCACGGGATAAAAATTCAGACACTGCTATGTACTTACAACAATTGCAAAGTCACGTGATTTGGGACCTTCCCAGCCAGTTTCCCACAAGAAAAGTCAACGGGGAAAGCGGGATTCATGTAACAACCGTGGGATTCATTTAACAACTGCTCAGCAACCAGAAAGGGTCACAAAATTGAGTGGGACTCTTTGAATAACCTCCTTGCTTAGTAATGGGAATTCTGGCCCTGATGGTGGGGCATGAGCCGCGGTGGTGCAGTGGTTAAGAGTGCAGTACTGCAGGCTACTTCTGCTGACTGCAGGCTGCCTGCAATTTGGCAGTTCGAATCCCACCAGGCTCAAGGTTGACTCAGCCTTTCATTCTTCCGAGGTCGGTCAAGTGAAGACCCAGATTGTTGGGGGCAAGAGGCTGATTCTGTAAACTGCTTAGAGAGGGCGGTAAAGCACTGTAAAGTGGTATATAAGTCTAAGTGCTACTGCTATCTTCCTTCCTTCCCTCCCTCCCAGTGGTTAGAATGCAATATTGCAGGCTAGCTCTGCCCAATGCCAACAGCTCGATCCTGACCGGCTGCAGGTTGACTCAGCCTTCCATTCTTCTGAGGTTGGTAAAATGAGGATTCAGATTGTTGCGGGCAATGTGGTGACTCTGTAAAACCACTTAAAGAGGGCTGCGAAGCACTGTGAAGCAGTATATAAGTCTAAGTGCTATTGCTATCTTCCCTTCCTTCCTTCCTTCCTTCCTTCCTTCCTTCCTTCCTTCCAGACCAAGGCAAATTCTTTCCCAGAGCTAATTCTAGGCTCTGAGAGAACATAGAATATAGAATAGAATCATAGGGTTGGAAGAGACCTCGGAGGTCTTCTAGTCCAACCCCCTGCTCAAGGCAAGAGACCTTATACCCGTGATGGCAAACCTTCCTCCCTCCCTCCCTCCCATCCTCCCAGTGGTTAGAATGCGATATTGCATGCTAACTCTGCCCCACTGCCTGCAGTTTGATCCTGACAGACTCAAGGTTGACACAGACTTCCATCCTTCCGAGGTGGGTAAAATGAGAACCTAGATTCTTGTGGGGGCAAGAGGCTGACTCTGTAAACCGCTTAAGAGAGGGCTGTAAAGCACCGTGAAGCGGTATATAAAGTCTAAGGGCTATTGCTATTAGGTTCAGGATTATCTGTACCTGCGAAAGACAAGACATTCTTCCGACTTTACAGAAAGGAAACTGAGGCAGACCGCTGTTTCCAGGGGCACCGGTGGCGATGGAGAGATTTCCCCAATATAGGCATGTTTGTATGTTTTAATGAGCTTCAGGTCATAAGTGTCCTCCAGCCTTACATTTAGGAAATGGAGACCGGTCTTAGCGGAGGAGGGACCCAGAAGAACAGAGATGTTGTGGAAGATGGTTCTGGAAGCCTGGCTGACATCTGCCCCCACATCAGCTCCTCCAAAAGGACCTTGTGTAATCTGTAGGAAAGCAGCCACTCCAAGGGCATCAAAAGGTCTCCCATGGAAAAGACCAGCCAAATGGACATGGGCCTGCTCAGATATCCTGATCCCCTGGCAAGGCGGCCCCCGGGGTATCCTGTTGCATTCGTGGACCGAAATGGAGACATCCACCATCTCCTCTCCCGTTGAAAGAAAGAAAAAAAAAAAAAACACCACGAACCCTCAAGCACTCGTGAGCTACTGAGTTTTATGACCTCTCACCTGGCTGGACCCGGGTTGCGTTTGAGATGGAAACAGCCAGAAAATTTGTAGAATGGGAATTGTAAAAAAAAAAAAGAAAAAGAAAAGAAAGGAAAAGAAGGCTGGGCAAAACCCTCCCTTCATATTGCCACAAAAGTTATGTAAACTTTTCTGACTTCATAGGAGAATTCTTCCTGGGTTTTTGGGGTTTTTTTTTTGCATGGTATGGGAGCAGCTCTGTAGCAGACAGAAAAGCTCTACAGAGAATCATTAAAATTGCCCAGAATATCATCAGGGCTCCAGCTACCAGCCCTGGACGATATCTTCGAATCTCGCTGTTTGAGAAAGTTGCATAACATTCTCAGGAGACTCTTCCCGTCCTGCTTACAATCTTTTTGGACTGTTGCCATCTGGCAGAAGATACAGAACAATTAAAACTCGGATCACACGTCTTCTGAATAGTTTTTATCCCAGAGCTAGAATTGCACTCAACAATGAACTAAAGGGCCACCATCAGAGAGCTGTTGGACAGCATGACTTGGTCTGTTGTGTGGATATTTGGGTGGTTTAGGGGTGGGGAATTTGTGGTGGGAGGAGGGGGGGTGTTTGGGGATTGTTATGTCTGTTGGACCTGGTTTTTGGGTGTTAAGTGAATTTCGGTGTATGGGTAGACTATGTATACACATACAATGACAATAAAGTTATTTATTTATTTTTCAAAAGAGATGGGAGAGCCAGAAAAATCTCATTTTTCTACTCCAAACTAGCCTTTGATAACTTCTTTCTTCCCCAATTCTGGCATTGGTTTTTAATAAGAAAGAAAGCCTCTGTCTGCGTCTCAGACAGAAACAGAGGCGCTCCCTGGAATCCAGCCCAAAACAACAACAATGGAACCCCAAAACCCCTTGCCATCCTGCTTTCTAGCAAAGCTAAACCGTGCAGCACAGCTGATCGTTGGAAATACCAATTCGGAGGAACTGGTAGCTTTTTTAAACTACCAGTTCCTCCAAATTGGTATTTCCAACGATCAGCTGTGCTGCAGCTTTTTTAAACTACCGGTTTGCCTGAACCGGTAACTTTTTTTTATCACTACCGGTGTGCCCGAACCGGAGCAAACCGGTAGCATTTCACCCCTGGGTGCAACCCAGGTCTTGGATGGTCCTGGTTAAGGGCTTTTTACACCTGGATGAAAAAGCCAGGAATGTAGTTCGCCATTCAAAGGGAGAGAGGAAAGGCACTTACTCTGCAGGTAAAAAACGCCGACCTTGTCGGTGTCCGAAAGCGGAATGTGGAGAACCATCTCGTAGCCAGCGGGAAGCCGGTCTGGGCCTTGCGTTCTCAAGATCATCCGGGACATGTCCTCCAGATCTGGGTGTTCGAAGCCCAAGAAAGAAGAAAGAGGGAAGTTAAGGGGGAGTGTTTGAGAGAGGGTCTTCCTGGAGAGAGAAAGCTCCGACAGGCGCATGGAGGAATCAGAGCGCTGGGCAGACTAGGGCAAATTCTTTCCCAGAGCTAATTCTGGGCTCTGAGAGAACATAGAATATAGAATAGAATCATAGGGTTGGAAGAGACCTCGGAGGTCTTCTAGTCCAACCCCTTGCTCAAGGCAAGAGACCTTATACCCGTAATGGCAAACCTATGGCACGCGTAGCCATATCGGTGGGCATGCATGCTCAGCTCCAGCGCCAGCTGATTTTCGGGCCTTCTGGGCCCACCAGAAGTATGGAAGCAGGCTGTTTCCTGCCTCCAGAGGGCCTCGGAGGGGGGGAAGGCCTGTTTTTTTGCTCTCCCCAGGCTCCAGAGCCTTTCTAGGAGCCTGGGGAGGGCGAAAACAGCCTCCCCCCCCCAGAGACCAGAACTTTGCCAATTTCTGGTGGGACTGGAAGCCTGTTTTTTGCTCTCCCCAGCCTCCAGAGCCCTTCTAGGAGCCTGGGGAGAGAGAAAAACGGGCCTACCAGGCCCACTGTGCCATCACATGCCAGGAGCAGGGGAAGAGTGGGGGGGGGTCGCATGCACAGGGGCGGGGCACATAGAATTATGGGTGTGGACACGCATGTGCATGACCCCCCCTTCCCCCCTGCCCCTGGCACACGATGGCAAAAAGGTTAGCCATCACTGCCTTATACCCATCCTTGGTGTAGGAAGCTCCCTTCCTACACCAGTTAAACGATTGGCCAGTCTATTCTTCAAAGTCTCCAGTTCGTGGCTTCGTTTCTGCAACCCCCAATTCTGTCTGAATCCGACTGCCGCTTTGAGCTTTGCAGTTTCCCATACAGGCAGTCCTCGACTTACGACACGTTCATTTAGAGACTGTTCGAAGTTACAAACAGCATTGGAAAAAAGTGACACGACGGTTTTTCACACCGTTGCAGCATCCCCGTAGTCACGTGATCAAAATCCAGACGCTTAGCAACTGACTTTTATTTTTCCCGGGCTCACTGGATCCCTTTTTTGCAATCTTCTGACAAGCCACGTCCATGGGGAAAGCCAGACTCACTTAATGACTGTGTGACTAACTTAACGATGGCAGGGATTCACTTAACAACAGTGGCGAGAAAGGGCGTAAAATGGGGGCAAAACTCACTTAACAACCGTCTTGCTTAGCAAGAGAAGTTTTGGCTTCCACCGCGGTCGTAAGTCAAGGACTACCTGGTATTCTTTTTGGTTCAAAGCACGTGACAAAGCCTTGTGCAAACTTGAGGTGTGGCCCGATGGGACTCACACAACCCAACTTTCAAAGGCTTCAGGCAGGACATGCCAGGGACTCAGGGTGGCATTTTCCCCATGCCCGCCAGATGCCAACTCCTGCCTCCGTTGTCCTGCTCTTCTCAGAAAATGCATTTAGCTTTTATTAGATCTTAACAACCCTTCCTCCAACTCACGGCCCGCCTTTTCTATAACTTCGTGCAATTTTTGTCTTTATTGCAACTTCCTTACAAGAGTTCAAATTTTCTGCTTAAGACGCAAACATTCTTTTCCTGCTGATTTCTTTCCAACACGCATCGCAAGGGCGTTTTAATTCCTGACTTACTAAAGGCTGTTTCTTTTTTTTTTTTCTTTTTCAAGTAATGTGCGTGACTTTATTTTGAAATGCAATACGACCGTGTCAACATTAGGTTTCTGCTTTTAAAGTTGACCTTTTTCCGTCTTACTAAATTACAGGTGGTTTTACTCTCAAACCTATTTTTCTCCTCCTTGTTAGCTCCTGACTGGAAAACACTTGGCTGCATTTAAAACCGGATTCCATGTTTTGTGCAATAGAGGCTGATCTGCAAAATGGATTCCTATCAGCTCCTGAAGAGGAAACTCAAATCCTTTGGTCGCCTAATGAGAAGGAAGGACTCCCTGGAGAAGAGCCGAATGCTGGGAACGATGGAGGGCAAAAGAAGAAGGGGACGGCAGAGAACTAGGTGGCTGGATGGAGTCACTGAAGCAGTCGGCGTGAGCTTAAATGGACTCCAGAGGACAGGAAGGCCTGGAGGAACGTTGTCCATGGGGTCGCGATGGGTCGGACACGACTTCGCAACTAACCACAACAATCAGCTTTTCAATTTTCAGAGCGGCCCCAGAGAGATCCATCGTATTGTACCTTCCTTGGAAAATATTTTCTCATCCTGACAGTCCTCCGTGGTGCTGAATGGATTTTCTTTGTCACAGTTGACCAACAGGATGGCCCCTTGGCCGTCGGGGCCCCAGGTCCACGTGGCCTGGAATGGCAGAATTTCACATTTAAGCAGGTCGACTCGGGAAAGAGATTTATCTATGACATGCCAAGGAAGATTTAGAAAGATTCCTCTGGGCTCCATTCAGTGGTGAAATCCAATTTTTTTTACTACTGGTTCTGTGGGCATGGCTTGGTGGGCGTGGCAGGGGAAGGATACTGCAAAATCCCCATTCCCTCCCCACTCCAGGGGAAGCATATTGCAAAATCTCCATTCCCACCCCACTCCAGGGGAAGGATATTGCAAAATCTCCATTCATGATAAATGTCAAAAGAATTCACATTGTCATTGGGAAGTCATGTTTCCAACACTTGGTGTGCTCCAGAACCACAGGAAAGGGCCAAAATTTAAGGAAACCATCTTGCATACGATCAATTGTTCTATCCAGAGCTGGTATTCAGCCGGTTCGTAAGGAAACCGTCTTGCATACAATCAATAGTTCTATCAGAGGTGGTATTCAGCTGGTTCATAAGGGAACCGTCTTGCATACGATCAATTGTCTATCCAGAGCTGGTATTCAGCCGGTTCATAAGGAAACCATCTTGCATACAATCAATAGTTCTATCAGAGGTGATATTCAGCTGGTTCATAAGGAAACCGTCTTGCATATGATCAATTGTCTATCCAGAGCTGGTATTCAGCCGGTTCGTAAGGAAACCATCTTGCATACAATCAATTGTTCTATCAGAGGTGGTATTCAGCTGATTTGTACTGGTTGGGGCTAACCAGTAGCAAAGATCGCGGGTCACCCACCTGCCCCGGCTCTATGACGTCCGATTTAGGCACGTTTTCGAGGCCGGGCACCTGTGCGAAAGGTGGTTTGGAAACCCACCACTGGTGAGTTCTATCTATGTCCAGTCCATGTCCACCATATCAGCCCTATGACTAAACCAGCCCGGGCCATCAATTCTACAGGAAAGCTAACACTACTTTTATGGAGCTGTTCTAGATTCTTAGCCGTCTTGGAAGTCTTAATTTTGCTGAATTTGCCTGATTTATTTTTACTTGTAAGTTCTCATTCATTTTAAACTCTTTTTTTAAAGCTAGGCTTTTATTTTTTGCAATTATGTGGATTTTTTTCAGGGGTGAAATCCAGCAGGTTCTGACAGGTTCTGGAGAACCGGCAGTGGAAATTTTGAGTAGTTCGGAGAACCGGAAAATACCACCTCTGAGTGGCCCCAGAGAGGGACTGGAGATTTTGCAATATCCTTCCTCTGGAGTGGGTGGCAATGGGGATTTTGCAGTATCCTTCCTCTGGAGTAGGTGGGAATGGGGATTTTGCAGTATCCTTCCTCTGGAGTGGGCTGGGAATGGAGATTTTGCAGTATCCTTCCCCTGCCATGCCCACCAAGCCACGCCCACAGAACCGGTAGTAAAAAAAATTGGATTTCACCACTGGTTTTTTTTATTATGCTATTCTGAACTACCCAGAGTCATATTTAGGTGAGACGGGAGCGGCATAGAAATGTAATAAATATTAAAAATGAATAAATACATAATTTCTTCCTCCTCCTCCTCCTCTTCCTTATAGGGAGGTGTTTGCCCGAACCACTTCCAAATATTATCTAAAGCGTAAAAATGTTCAGAAGTGTTCCTACATCCCCTATTTATTTATTCATTAATCCAATTTCTATACTGGTCACTCATTTCCCTGGCTCTCTACCAGTGGTGAAATGTAAAACTTATTACTACCAGTTCTGTGGGCGTGGCTTGGGGGGGGGTAACGTGACTGGGTAGGTGTGGCCACCTTTTTTTTTTTTTACTTTTAAAAGCATTTTTTCTACAACCGTAAGATGTTGCAGAAAAAAATGCTTTTAGAAGCCTCTGACGATCAGGCAACTCAGCTGGGATCGCCAGACACTTTTAAAGGCATTTTTTTTTCTACAACCTCTTTGGCTGCTTTTAGAAGCCTCTGACGATCCCAGCTGAGCCGCGCGATCATCAGAGGCTCTCTTTTTTTACTTTTAAAAGCATTTTTTCGGCCGAAGAGGTTGTAGAAAAAAATGCTTTTAAAAGTTAAAAAAACAGCCTCGGATGATCGCGCAGCTCAGCTGGGCATGGAGGGGGCGCGCGCAGGGATTTTTGCTACCGGTTCTCCGAACCACCCGCCGCCATCGTTACCAGATCGGGCGATCCAGTCCGAACCGGGAGCATTTCACCCCTGCTCTCTACCCTCCGTGTCTAGATACACCTGGAGACCAGTTAAAGGGACAGTCGCCCCTTTCTGCTTCAGCCCCTGCAGGTGTCTTAGCCCAAGAGAGAGAGAGAGAAAAAAAAAGAGATTTGAGAGAGGGAACAGTAACCCAACCGAGGGAAATCACTGTCTCAGCAGGGGGGCCTGGAGCCGCATTGGGGAACGAGTGCCAAATTACGCATATAACGCGGTGGGCACTTTTGCCAAGAAGGGGGTGGGAACTCCATTGATCCGAATGCCTTGCAGGCTGCAAAAGATGACCCCAGCTGAACCTGTCCCCCTCGGCTTCCCGCTTGCAGAGAAGGCTCTTTTTCGGAAACTGGGGAGAGGTGTGTGTGTCTGTGAACCAGGGGCCCTCTCCTCAGCCCCACCCATGTCACAACACTGCCCTTCCAGGCCCAGGAGCCAAAACGAGAGAAGGCTGCTGGGAACCCCAAGGGATGGAGAAAGAGCAGGCAAATTACATAAAAAAATCTGAAGCGTTGGCTAAAATTTTGCCTCTTAATTAAAATCAGTGGTAGAGGACACCTCGTCTTATTCTCCCACCCCAATAGGGAAACTAAACACCCACAAAGCAGCAGGAATGTCGTTATCAATTTAAACTTGAGTAAGCATGCAACAATTTTTTGGGGTGAGAAGTCCTTGCTCGGCGCCATTTGGTAGAAATATTAACAGCTTGACGTTTAAGGCTTGGGAAATACGAGCACAGGGCTGTGTCCCCTTTTTAAGGGCCAGGTAAGGCCAGCATGCATCCCTCCTAAAGGACTATTCCAGAGAGGTTTCCAATGACCAAGGAAGATTTAGAATCTGGACGCTACCTTCTTTGGGTTATTCTTCTCCACCACACCATCGCGGTCCGTGTCAACGTCCAAGGAGATTCCTAGAAAGCAAAAGGTTTGGCCGTCTCAAGGATTCAAAGAGGCGAAGGACAAACTAGAGCTAGCGGCCGGCTGGGCTCAACATGAAGAAACTTTTTTGAATCCAAGGAAGGACAATTAAACCAGTGGAACAGCTTGCCACCAGAAGTCGTGGGCGCTCCATCCCTGGAGGTTTTTAAGAAGAGACTAGACAGTTACTTATCTGAGATGGTATAGGTGCTCCTGCTTGAGCAGGGGGCTGGACTAGAAAACCTCCAAGGTCCCTTCCAGATTCTATTCTATTCTATTCTATTCTATTCTATTCTATTCTATTCTATTCTATTCTATTCTATTCTATTCTATTCTATTCTATTCTATTCCATTCTCATTCTACTGCACTCCACTCCACTCCACTCCACTCCATTCTTTCTTATTCTGTTCTTATTCTTATTATTCTATTCTTACTCTTATTCTTACTCCTACTCCTATTCCATTCCATTCATTCTATTGTATTTCTTATCCTATTCCTATTCCTATTCCTATTCCTATTCCTATTCCTATTCCATTTCATTCTATTCCCGTGATGGCGAACCTATGGAACCACTCTGTGGGCACGCCAGCCGTCACCCCAGCCCAGCTCCACCGCGCATGGATACATGCCTCCCGCTGTCAAGTTAAGTCTTCTGGTCTCTGCCACGCATTTGTGGGGTGCGGGGCGCATGCGGGGGACGCACGTGTGCATTTGGCGGGGTGCATGCACGGGGGGCTTGCATTGCATTTTGGGGGTTCGTGCACGAGCACTCCCCGCACCCTGTTTTGGGCCTGGAAGGCTTCTTGCACCAACCTGGAAGTCATAACGAGGCAGGTGGGTGGGTGGGGGCTGGGGTGCATACATGGGGGGGGGGCGGGTTGCATGTGCAGGGAACGTGTGCGAATTCATGGGGCAGGGTACAAATGCACAGGCACATTGCATTTTGGGGGTTCGTGCACATGCAAACCCCCATGCACAGGCTTTGGGCACTTGGCACCAAAAAGGTTAATCATCACTGTTCTATTCTATTCCCCAGAATATTTTACTAATAGGAGATAATTTAAGAGCAGAGAGGGCCCTTTGATCTGTAAGGAAAAGAATGCCCTCTGCTCGGCTTCGGATATCATCGGCTCTTTTTAAATTAAAGCTGTAATAATACTCTGCGAGGGGAAAGAGGAATTCCATCGAGAACCAAAGAGGGGAAACAGGAAGACTCTCACCAATGCCAGTCAGAAAAACGCCAGCCTGATTTATAGGGTGCTCTCCGTTCTCCTCGTAATATCCTACGGTTACCTAGAGAGGAAGACGGAAAAACGACAGTAGGTTAAAACATTAATGGAGAAATGTCTATGGAAATTCTCAGCCAGCCAGATCATGGTTGCGGAGCTGGCAGCGGAGTCGGACAGCGAAGAGGCTGGGGAGGAACATGGGCCAGTCCTGGAGTCTGGGGAAGGCCCGGACGAGGGCTCTGTGTCGGAGGCAGAGATGGGGCCAGGGCCATCTGGGAGCGATGTGCGGACACTGGAGCCCCCAGAGTCGGACAGCAGAGACACAGAGGAACAGGAGGAGCCTGTTCCCAGTGCACGCATGCGCAGAGCTTCCAGAAGGCAAGAGCAGCTAAAGCAAAAGGGACAACTCAGGAGTAAGGCCAGGAGATGATTGGCCCCTCCCATAAGGCTTAAAAGAGAAACAAAGGCACTTGGGGCCTTTTGCAGGAAAGCAAAGTTGCTAACTCTGTTTCCAGTCAGCATCTCTTGTTTGTTTCTGAACTTCGTGGGGCTTTGCCAAGTAAGGCCTTTGGCAGGGTGTCAAAGAAGATAAAGGTTGGTGATTATCCCGAAGGACTTCTTCCGAAGGACTTGTTTTGCAACTAATTGGGACTCAGCTGGGAATGAACGTAATTCTCAGCTGTTACAATAAAATAGGGGTTTTTTGGGACTAATTGTGTATTGTAATGACTAAGTAAGCCTAGGTCACAACAGTTGTCCCAAAGGTGCTTTTTTCAAGTGGCAAGCGGACTTTCTGGTTTTTCTTTGAAGACATTTTGCTTCTCATCCAAGAAGCTTCTTCAGCTCTGTCAGCCATTATAACCCTGTTTAAAACAATAATTCAGGCACACCATTGGTTGGGAAAGGATCTTACTTTGCTATCGTTGGTCTCCACGCTAGCCTGGGTCATCTGGATCTGCAGGAACGTGCCGGGATCCAGCGGCCATTGCTTAGCTCCGTTGGCGGGTGCCAAATCCGACTGATCGTGGCTTATGACTTCGACACTGACATCTTGCGAATGTTTCACGCTGAAATTCACCGCTTCTGGCGGAGCGGCCCTATAAGAGGAGAAGAAAAAAAAAGGAAAAAAGACTCGCCAGCGGGCCCACAAAGCAAAATATTGTGATGCCTAAACAAGGCGATGCTATCCAGCTGTGATCGGGCCAAGATCACTGCCTTGAGTGATGCTAAGTGGAAATTCTTTTGCTAAGGCTTACTGGCTGCAGTAAAGGCAGGCTAGAACTAAAGTTCTCTCAGGAAAAGGTTATAAACTTTTCCCCTCCATCCTGGCCCTCCCCCCCCCAACCAGTTCGTCTTCAGCCAATGGCGAGCCCCATAGATGTTTTGAGAACCTCTCAGGTGTATGCAGCAATCCACATTCCATTTCCAAGCTTCGTGGCCTTGAAAACTGGCACATATTGGTTCTCTGCATCTCTGGTCTCCATCAAGATATCACCCTCCACTCCCAATTTCCCATCTCTGCCCCATACATGTTTATTACCCATTTGCTTTCCTTCCCGTCCCCCCTAACCAGTGGTGAAATCCAAATTTTTTTACTACCGGTTCTGTGGGCGTGGCTTGGTGGGCGTTGCAGGAGAAGGATATTGCAAAATCTCCATTCCCACCCCACTCTGGGGCCAGTCAGAGGTGGTATTTGCCAGTTCTCTGAACTACTCAAACTTTCCGCTACCAGTTCTCCTAACTGCTCAAAATTTCCGCTACCGGTTCTCCAGAACCTTTCAGAACCTGCTGGATTTCACCCCTGCCCCTAACAGTTGGTGGCAGGATGCTAGCAAGGCGCCAAGCCCAAGATGGCAGAGCCGGCACACTGGATCTTACACCTCACACAATACTCAGGGTGCCCCCACATCTATTTTTAAGTGCAGTGCCAGCCATGTCCTTTATGGTGGCAAGGTTGGGGAACCTCGTTGATATGTAGGATTCTGCTCCTTGCAAGGGAGAAGGTGACATGACACACACACCGTGTGTATAAACATATACACCGCGTGTATAAACTTGAAGTTAAATATAAACTTCAATTTAGGAGAAGCCTGAAGCACAGATGCCAGTAACGTTCCCAAGTTCTGGAAATTCTCACAGGCAAAGATCTGAAGAAGATTCTTTAAATTGTCCTGATACTCAATGAAATCAGAGTGAGAGTAACTCTGGAGAGAACGGGGTAGCATAGGACAGGCTTCAGTGGGGCAAGGCTGAGGGAGAGGAGGGGATAGAATGGGGAGGATTCTGTGGGGCAAGGCTAAGGGAGAGGAGGGGATAGGATACGGGAGGATTCTGTGGGGCAAGGCTGAGGGAGAGAAGGGGACAGGATACGGGAGGATTCTGTGGGGCAAGGCTGAGGGAAAGAAGGGGCTAGAAAGCCTGAGGGAGTGGAGGGGATAGGATAGGAGATGTTTCTGTGGGGCAAAGCTGAGGGAGAGAAGGGGCTAGAAAGCCTGAGGGAGTGGAGGGGATAGGATAGGGGAGGATTCTGTGGGGCAAGGCTGAGGGAGAGGAGGGGAGCGGAGAGGCCGATCATAACTACTCATTAAGTTTCAAGCTGTAAGTGTCAATTTATCAAGCCCCATCACACAGTTTCCTAGCGAAGCACGGGTATCCAGCTAGTTCTAGATTAAAAAAAATGAAAGGGACGGAGAAGGATGAAGATATACGAAGCTGGAAAAAATGTTTTATTATTCTGCACAGAGAGCACTAAATCACCCTCTGACATAACTCATCTTTGCAAGCTTTGTTTAAAACAAACAACAAAAAAAGGGCACACAATAGGAGCAAGACCGCGGCACCCAAAATGTCTTGGCAGGCAGCCTCTTCGGATAAACGAACAAAAGTCCATTCACCATAAATAAGCATTTTCAGGCACGGCTGGCAGCTGATTCTGTCTGTCTGCCCAACGGAGGGAAGCATCCAAAATACTAACTAGCTTTCCTCTGGCACCACCCCAAGATTAAAGTGGTTGGAGGTTCAGGCTTGGAACATTTTCAAAGGAAGGTCAACCAAGAGGTGTCTGGGCATATGCAGATTGCCCGTCGTTCCTTACCAAGAAGCCAGACAAAAAGGTATTATGGAGAAAGGTAAGGATTGTGAAGCACAAGTTGCGTCTCCCTTTCCGACGGGGTGTGTTGATCGCAGGATATCTGAGAAGGTTCTCCTTGTTGGACCTGAACAGCCAAGGTTGGGAATCACCAGCTCCTCCTTGGAGGTAAAACTGACCTTTGCTTTCTCCTCTTTTATAAGCAGCCTTCAGAGGAGGCTCTGGTCATCCTGGATGTCTTTTTCCTTCAACTCTGCACCAAGCAAGGTCCAAGCAAGGAGAAGAAACGTTGACTTCTTGTGATCTAAGTCCCAGAGCTCACTGTAACAGCATTGCCAAAAAGGCATTAAGAGTTGTTAACCTAATCTCGCGAAGCTTCTTCTCCGGTAATATTGTACTGCTAACTAGGGCATACAAAACCTTTGCTAGACCAATTCTCGAATACAGCTCGTCTGCCTGGAACCCGCACTGTATATCGGACATTAATACAACTGAGCGAGTCCAGAGGTATTTCACGAGAAGAGTCCTCCACTCCTCTGCTCACAACAGAATCCCTTATGCCACCAGGCTAGAAATTTTGGGCTTGGACAACTTAAAACTACGCTGCCTTTTGTGTACTAAGCATAGTACACAAAATTATCTGCTACAACGTCCTACCTGTCAATGACTACTTCGGCTTCAACCACAATAACACACGAGCACACAATAGATGTGTGACTCTTCCAGGGGGAGAGCCTTCTCTGTGGCGGTGCCCGCCCTCTGGAAAAACCTCCCCCCAGAGATACGTACAATACCAGACCTCCGGACTTTTCGTCGGGCCCTGAAAACTTATTTATTTCACCTAGCCGGGCTGGCTTGATCCCACTGTTTTTGGTTAAATTTAATTGATTTTAATTGGGTTGTTTTAAATTGCGGCCAAAATATTTAATTATTTTTAAACTGTTTTTAAATTTTGCATGTTCTGTTTTATTCTGGCTGTTCACCGCCCTGAGTCCTGCTGGAGAAGAGCGGTATACAAATTTTTTTAAAAAAAATAGATACAAACTCATGGTAAACCGCTCCAAACTCGATTGCAGAAAATATGACTTCAGCAACAGAGTGGTTAATGCCTGGAATGCACTACCTGACTCTGTAGTTTCTTCCCCAAACCCCCATAACTTTCATCTTAGACTGTCTACTGTTGACCTCACCCCATTCCTAAGAGGTCCGTAAAGGGGGCGTGCATAAGCGCACCAGCGTGCCTTCCGTCCCTGTCTTACTGTCCCCATTTATTCGTATCCATTTCCTGTATTCAGAATCGTGTTTATACTTATTATATCTGTTATCTTATCTATGCTTGACAAATAAATAAAATGAATAAAAAAATAAAAGGTTCTGCAAGAGGACCGCACAGCCCAATAAATCCTCGGTTCCCGGAATGACATTTATCCTTCCCCCACCCCAAACAGGTGCTGTTCCTTAAAGCAGCTTGACTCAGCCTGGTCTCCTCAGATCCGAGGGGGCTGCAGAGAAGCTGCCAAGTGCCAAGTGTTTAGCCATGCCAGGCTAGCTAACGAGTGCCACTTGAGCTGAATGCCGGGGCACACGGCAAGGAAGACTCCGGGGAAAGAAAGGCTGCCGTTAGGGAGACGGAAGGCACGGATGAGGTGTACCTTGGTGCCACCGTTTCACACCGGTTGCCCACTTCCCCTCCGAAGTGAAGATCTCCATTAAAGAAATAAATCTCGAAGTCTTCGAAAGAAGACTTGAAATATTACAGGACATGGAATAAATTTCATGAATGGATAGAGACAGGAGGTGGAAATGAGAAGGACGTTTATGAATGTCAGTATAATGATGTATAAAACTATGGATATAATATGGAAAAATTTGTAAATAAGTTAATAGAAACTTCGTTGAAGTTTTCTTTTCTTTTCTTTTCTTTTCTTTTTTGGTTGCAGTGCTGCAATTACGGTTAACCTAGTACAGTTATAGTTATTAGCATGCATGTTAAGATTTACCATTTATCCCTCTCTGGCTCTGCTTTATTTGCATTGTTATCCTGGCATGGCACTATCTTTTCAAAATAATAATAATAATAATAATAATAATAATAATAATAATAACTTGAACATTTTGACTCTACAAAAAACCACCTTACTCAGAACAGCTTACATCCTCCGACGATACCTTAACAGTTCCTAGGTCCTTGGTTAGGACTCGAGCTGCTGAGCTATTAACCAGCCTCAAAGGCTGTGAATCTCACTAAAGATTAAATAATAATAATAATAATAATAATAATAATAATAATAACAACAACAACAACAACAACAACAACCTGTATCAAAAAGTCATGGGAACATAAAGTGGAAAAAGTTATAGAAAATGAGAAGGTGAAGATCTTGTGGGACTTTCGAATACAGATGGATCATCACCTGGAACACAACATGCCGGATATCACAGTTGTCGAAAACCGAAACGTACAATTTATTGACATCGCGGTACCAGGAGACGCCAGAGTCGAAGAAAAAGAACTGGAAAAAATCATAAAATATCGCGACCTGGCCATCAAAACTACACGGCTATGGATGAAACATGTCACAGTGATACCCATTGTCATCGGGGCACTTGGTACCATGTCCAAGAATTTCGCAAAACACTTCAAGAAATTGCAGTTTACTGAAATAACATCAGGAGAACTGCAAAAAGCTGCGCTCCTCAGAACATCATATATTTTAAGAAGGTACTTGGTTGATATCTAGGACGCTGGCAGCAACCCATATCAATCATTAGCACCAGTCAATGGTATTTGTGATGCATTTTTAAATGTTCAGAGTTCCATGGATAATAATAATAATTAATATAATTATTAAGAAGGTTCTTGGTTGATCCCTAGGACGCTGGCGGCAACTCGTATCAACCATTAGTACCAGTCAATGGTATTTGTGATGCATTTTTAAATGTCCAGTTGACTGAGTTTCATTTTAATGAATAAAAGAGAATAATAATAATAATAATAATAATAATAAT